TCTACATGAGGCCCCTGGTCACTACTGTGTCAGGTTGATGTGTGTGTGAGAGACTGGCTGTTTTTGGGAAAGTTACAAAAATTGTGAGAATCATTTCCTGTACTCTACCCTGGCAGCTTTCTAAATGGAAAAGCTGGTGATACCTGCTGGCGTTGATTTTTGTCACAAATACTGCACTACAGGACAATTGATTTTGAGAAGACTATGAGATGACTTGTTGTTGTAAATATGCGCTATACAAATAAAATTGAATTGAATTGAAAATTTAATTATCTGCTTGTTCTCACTCTTTAGTTTGCTCTTATACTCCCTGTACACATGGCTGATCTGGTCTTCATCCAGAGTGTGTTGAAGAAGAAGAAGGTTTCAGCAGACTCATATTAAAAAATGCTGATTCATTTCGCATCCTTACATTGCCATAAATTTAGCCTGCCATTTTAGCAAGCTTAGGTTAGCATGCTAGCGTTAGCATGTAGAAATTCTGACTGGCCAACAGCTGATCGCCAAAGTAGCCAAAAAATGTATGTTACATGTAGATAACACGCTAATTGTATGAATGTGTTGAGTGAAACTGGCCTTTGTATGTGGAGTTAATGTCATGTTCGATCACATCTAAATAAACCTGCATTCGCTTTTTTCACAACACTGTTTTAATTAATATTCCCCGGTTTGTACGAGAGGGTCGACCTGCAGCGTTCTTGATCTGGAAACAAAGGTCTGCCTCGTAACAGTGCTGCAGCTTTTGGATTGCATCGCCTCCACATGTGCAGTGCGAAAAGCACACACCTCTGGACTGTTCATATCTTTGCCTTTCTTCAAAAGATCGCCTCAGCGGTGAAATGCATTCAACCTGTATGTTGGCTCTTGCTAAAGAAAGGAAACTAGCTGGCAAAGGAGGTCACCAGCCAGGCTCTCCTCTCGCCGGCACCGGAGAGGCACATCAATACTCAGATGACGTTTTCTCTCTGCTGGAAAATCCATAATTCATACACTCTCAGGTGGTCCTGTATTTACTATCGATCAGACGGAGGTAACAACAGCAGTATCGATATGCCGGAGGGAGTCGCTAAGGCGTCGAGAAAGCAGCCGCAGATGAAGAAGACGAGGAGGAACTACTGCAGAGCTACCTGCACTGTGGTTTAAACTGAGTTTTCTAATTTACTGCCCTCGTGAGAGACATTGGAAATATTTCCATAATACAGAAGATGGAAATAGCACTGGAGCATTTAATGATTTTCTTCTGCTAAACAACAGAATAAAAGGTTGTTGTTATGGCAGAAACTTCACCACTTCTTCTGTGATTTATGACAAGAGAGTAAATGTAGATTTTTTTCATGGCGACTCGATTATTTTCATCATCAAGCCTTCGTTTACTGTTTGCTGACTTTGGGATAGAGGCTGGATAGTTAGCTAGTCTTGTTCAACATACCGACAAATTCTATTTACCATTTGTCAAATGTACGCGTTGTTATTGGTTTTAAACTTTGCTGGCATCATGTGTGAGTTTTGTGGCTCAGAGCTGAGTCAAAGGGTTCAAAAGGGACAAATCTCCTGTTGCCAAGTTGTATCTGAAGTTCATTATCAGAGAAGTGACTTGATTATTGTATTGTTGGTCTGCAGACCTTCACATGCAGAAAACTCTGAAAACTTCTAATTCAAAGTGAGCATGTTACCTGAATGTGGAGGCACAGGTAGGGCCGACAGATGGCCGACACCGGACGGGTGAACATGTCTTCCTCTGTCTCAGCGGCTCTTTGAATCTTTTCCAGCTGGCTGTTCTTCTTTCTTGCGGTTTCCAAGACACCTTGAGGATCTTCAGTGAACTCAGTTGCCACGTAATCCTCAGAACTGCAAATGCACGATGTTTCAGCACTAGAATGTGGTGGACGTGGGAGTCAGGGCACATGTCGTCTTTTGAATCAGTGTCAGTGCTGCAGCAACACCAAAACTTTTCAGTATTTACTCAGAGTGAAATACTTCTTTGCAACCTAAAGGATTCGTTTTCTTGTTTGTTTGGCCTTGATAACAGTAATGTTACTGTGAGGATCAAAACAGTAACCAAAGAGCCTCTGCTTACCTCCACAATCTATATGTTTTCTGTCCAGGGGCCACCAAAGACATGGGCAAGATGCTGGGTGGGGAGGAGGAGAAGGACCCAGACGCAGCCAAGAAGGAGGAGGAGCGGCAGGAGGCGCTGAGGCAGCAGGAGGAGGAGAGGAAGGCCAAGCACGCCCGCATGGAGGCGGAGAGGGAAAAAGTACGGCAGACCATCAGGGACAAGGTACGGACACAGTAAAGAATCACTCACCTGAGTCACCAATCGAACAAAGTCCTGCACCATGTTCATCTGCTGCTCAGCGCGATGGATTTGTCTGCATGCTGACGTTACACGAACTAAAGGACAACCAGGTTAATTATTGGTTTTTCAACATTTGTCCACCAAGAACTCACGAAGGTACTCACTTATGAAGATGCCTTTGCTAATCTGATTGTTTAACTCATAGGTAGCTGTTGGCTTTGTCTGCTGTTTGCTGCTGGTCAGGTGCTTTACTGTAATGTGCAGAGATCAATGACCTAAAAGCAGCCAACAGCCTGCACTCATTATGGTGGCTCGATGGTTCGCACTGCTGCCTTACAGCACGAAGATCTGGTGTTTGTAGCTAGATATTTGGATAGATAGATGGATAGATACTTTATTCATCCCCTTGGGGAAATTCAAGCTATCCAGTAGCTCACATGCGTGACATACAAGAAAGAAAAAAGCGATGTACCAAAGAGCATGCAATTAATGTGCAAATCGTGCTGGTCGAAGGAAATAGCAACAATCTCGCTAGCATCATGTTACCCAGGCAGGTCCGGGGCATTTCTGTTTCTCCCGCCATCAAAAGGACGCTACATTAATTCTCCAAATTGTCCTTGACCACAGCCTGTCTCGGAGCTGGTCCTTGGGGTCGTGTGCGGTGGCTCCCCACCACCACACCAAGGATGGGTGAAATGCAAAGATCAAGTTTCCTATGGGGATCCATAAAGTTTACCTTTAACTTGCTGTGTTTTGGCACACATACTCAGTGCATCTTGTAAAACAACATGGCAGGTGGTCATACTGTATGTTATTGTGGTGAGAGGCCGGGGTAATTCTTGTCACTTATCTCCAGCAAGCTCCACATTCCTGCAAATTCCAGGTGTTTGATTGTGTTGCAGGATCTTTCTCTGTTTACTTACAATCAAATCACTTGAATAAACTGTAAGCGGGGTTTTTCCTGCATAGAAGAACTTCTGGTGCACAAACAGGTGAAGATAAATGACCAGCACCAAAATGACAACATTAAAAAAATACAACAAATGCTGTCTTAAATTTTGTTAAATGAGGTTTCTTTTACTCAAGGAGAGCAGGCTTTTTGTTTATCAAATAGTCGGAAATGACAAAAAAAAAAAAAAAGAATCTCCAACAGATCTGAGGTTGCCTTTCCTGTTCACGGACAGCTTGTGCTAATTGACGTCGTCCTCCAAAAGCTCATTGGAGTCAAATCACACAAAATAATACAGCAGGCTACTATAATTATGCAGATGACACACAAATAGACATACAAATTCATTTTTCTTTCTCTTAATGAAGATAAGACTGATACGGTTGTGTTTGGGCACTTAAAGGTACCCCAGTGTATGAGATGTCGAATACAAATAAAACTGCCTTGTCTTGCTTTGCTTTAAAAATATCTGAATACCCTTTAATGCCAGCTCTTGTTCATCACCGCTCTTTATCCAGTATGGGCTGAAGAAGAAGGAGGAGAAGGAGGCGGAGGAAAAAGCAGCCATGGAGCAGGCCTGCGAGGGTTCCCTGACGCGCCCGAAGAAGGCGATCCCGCGGGGCTGTGGCGACGACGACGAAGAGGACGAGGAGAGCATCCTCGACACTGTCCTCAAGTTTCTGCCTGGACCCCTACAGGACATGTTCAAGAAGTAAAGCAAAGAAACGAAACAAAACACATCAAACGAACCCTATGTTCAGGGTCAAGGTCTGGCATGGGCCAGGCTGCAGGGCAAAGGGAAGCGGGGATCTGGGGTTGAATGAAAAATGATTTTTTTTTTTTTGGTGTTTGTAAGCAGGAAGGGTTCGAGTGTAGGTTTGGGGCTTGTACAGGTTGTTGGGAGCAACACGGATGTGGGAGGGGGGTTCTTGTCAAACTGTTAGAGGCTACACACTGCCTTTCTAGAGGTCTTTTACTTTGTTCTTTTCTACACCTCGACGACTCGTCATTCTTTCCCTTTTATTTGCCTAAATGGTTGTACGACCTTCCAACTGCCAGTTAGCACATTTCTTACAATTTGTACTTTTTTTTTTTGTCTTTTTCTTGTTGTTATTTTTATTTTTTTTACACCCATTAAGAACAGACTCTTTAGTTGTCCATCATGGAGAACAGTATTCCTTAAAGGACCGCAGACGCTTGTCCTCTGACGTCTGTGGGTTTTTTTAAAAACAGCACTGCCACCATGTTTTCCAGTAGATGGCGCATGTTGTGTTCATTCCAATGGGTGTTTTCTACTTTTATGAACCTTGTGTAGTTCTTTATATTGAAAAAAACAAAAAACAAAAAACAAATCAGCAATTGAGTTTTTAGGACATGTGCCTTCATATCATATCCTCCAGTAGAGGAATTGTCAATGAGGGTTTCATTGTGAGTCAAACAGGTGTACAGTTGTTGGGTAGCATGTAGGCAAGCGTTCACAGATACAAGATTGGACACGTTTGAAATGATGTATTGGATGTTGGGATGTTAGTCGGTAACTTTTGGGGTTTACAGATGCAATTGTTCAAACTGGAAATCCCAGAAGACGCCCCAACAGTCCACAAAAACAACTTAACATAATTCATGACTACCTGTGAGGACAAGAGCTTCTGAAGAACTGTTTGCTGAAGAAAAAAAAAATGCATCTCCCTCCTATTGCCACTTGTTTTTTCACTAAAACTTGACTTGTGAGCCTGTCAGCTAGTTAGACTGCCACCACGATACGAGACTTTACATGAACTTTAGGTCAAAAAGGATCGGAATAGATTTGACTCAACCTGAGATACTGTTCGCCTTCAGTACACGACACACTGCCCGACCAAGTCATTATGATTTAGGTGTTGATTAGGTTGTTAGGCGCGATCCCCTTAGACAATCAAAGCGTTGACCACTGGGTACTGTACATGTCGTCGTCTTCTGTCACATCGTCGTACATTAAGCGCTTGATTAGCTGATTGCTACAAAATGTCTCTTTTCTTTTTCGTCTTCATCCACGAATGCAAATGCCAGATGATGTCTGGCCGTTTACTCTTTTAGCACATAACAACAGTTACATCTCAGCTGAGCTAACCTTTTCCATTATCTTATACTGTGTACCTTGACTGAAGCTCATCGACATCGAGACCAAAGAAATACTGGCGAGACCTTACTATTTCTTTTGTCACCACGACACAGAGACACGCATGCTGGTTTTTATCGTATGTGCGAGGCCCGCAGGAGGAAACGTGGCGTGTGCATGCATCCCAAAGACCACCGCTGAACTAAAACCGACGTATGTCCTCAAAAGCTTTCCACGTGAATAGAAACTGTAGACTGAGCCTGAGAAAAACTGGTCTGTGAGTTGTTTGCATCTCACTGCCTGAGAAGTATATTCTGCATCCTGCATCTGTTAATCCAACGAAATGTCATGGTGATCTGTCTTATAGCATTTAAATAGACGTACTGTAAATGAAAACAATCTCTATTTAGCGAAAGGTACCTTAATATATCTCTAAAACAAAGCATGTTGATTACTCCTAAATGATCCGGTGGCTTTTCAGTGGTTAGCTGTGCAACAGTGTATTGATTGATGCATTGTTCCATGAGTTTGTAAATTAGAATAACTCTAGGGATTAATAGGACTAATGATGATGTTGTCATAGGCACGACAAAACGCATTTTCCTCTTTTTTTTTGTTTTTGTCATTTTCTAGCTCAGATAGGACTTTTCACTAGACAAAGCCATACTGTTTAGATTGCAATAATTACTTAAAATTATTTAAAAAAAAAAAAAAAAAAAAGAATATTTCAACATTGAACGTTAACTGTCTCATGTTTGTTTTCTTCAAAAAAAAAACAAAAAACAGATCTTGGCATATCTGTTTGTAAATCCTCACTTTTCATTCTTGTATCTTCAAACAAGTATACTCATGAATACATAAAGAAAATGTGCGTAGAAAAAAAGAAGCCATTGTTCTAAACGTTTCCGTGTACTACATGTGTACTGTAAGTGTGCGTGTTTATATGTGTGCGTCTTTCTATGTGTCTGTGATGTGGGACCATGTCGTTGATTCATATAGTCCTGGTTTATACAATGTAAATGTGTCTTTGAACTACTTTGTGCACATGTGGAAGCTGGTGCAGCCTCCTGGTCGTGCCATGTCTGAGAAAAAAAAAAACAAAAAACTTAACACATTCCTTTCAAATGTTGAGCATGCAAATGTTTGGTAGAGACGAGAATACACCAAATGCCAAAAGACAAAAAAAAAAAAAGAAAAGGAAATGACCTGTTTCTGTAGGAGTCTCCGGGCAACAGAATGTACGCATTGGATCCAGTGTTTGATGTTCTTTGCTGTCTGAACGTGAGGGTGGAGTGGAGGCCGCCATCACACACCATAGTTCCTTCTGCACATTGCGTAGCAGCATTTAGTGCATTCACAAAAAACAGATCAGTAGGTCTGCAGACTGCATTTGCATGTGCAGCGTGGGGTTGAAGGATCACGCTGTATCACAATCCTCTACACAAAAACGTCGTTATAGCTAGAAATAAGACAAAAAGCATGTTGCTTTCTCGTCAAGATTTCAAAATTTGCAACTAAAATGAGAAACGGGAAGTGCTGCACTGGGTCCAAAACAGTAAAGCTGGTAGTTTGAAAGCGCCGAGCTTTTCAAGGATAAAGAAAAGATGAAAACATGACTCCCATATCTTTAAATAATGTCCTTCGTCTGAAGAGTATCCAAGGCACTCTGATTTTACATACAGATCTTATTACAGGGATTTAGCAATGCGTTAAACTGACATTTTATCTGTGTGATGTAAAAACACTTCACTCAGTGATTGCAGCGTTTCCAGTTGGTAGAAATCCAACAAAACCGCATATATGTGGAATGAAAAGTGACTCTGAGCTTCATACCAACATAAAATATTTACAAATAACACACTGGTGACATTAAAATGAAAGCATAGATATGGAAACACCCTGCTCTCTTCCACCTAATCCCACGCCTGAGGGCATCTCCACACAACACAACAGCTACATTCGTTCCCTGAGTCTTGTGTCTTTACGGACTGCGCCTCCAGAGTTTGCTGTCGGTGTCGAACGATGTGCTGTAATAAGAACCAATCAGGCCGGTTCTGACAGGAATTTGGCTAAACAAAACTATGTTTGCCAGATAAAGGTGATATAAATTTGGCAAACTTCCAAACTAACTCTTGCCAGCAGAAGTGAAAACTGTCCTCTCTGTTCTAAGAAGTCAAGCGTGACATGGAGTTAAGATTAAAATAAAGCAACGAGCTTATCAAAAAGAAAACGGGGCATGTGCAATTTAAAAAGCTTCTGTAACTAAAATTGTCTATTTTTATTTCAATGAAAAACATTTCATGCAAATGTTCACGTGTCTGTAAAAGGCCTGCAGAGAGGTTCATGAAGCTGCAGACATCACAGTTTAGTGCTTCATTTGATGACCAGATTAGTTACCACAATCCTTTATGCACCCGAGGCAGGGCCACTTTCACCTTCCACACATGGAAAAAGCTTAAACAAGCCTTGTGTCCCCCCCGCTGGTGGATAGGAAGAAGGGGACGTAGATCCTGGACTAGGCTTACATCGTGGGCCCTTCATGGAAACTACAGCCATACATCCTCTGTATGTAAAATAGTCTCTCGGTGGGACTCGTCTCGAGGCGTCACGGCATGTGAACTGCCTTTGAAAAGGGCTATTAACATACATGTCATTGTTCATGGGGTTAGCGGTAAACTCATCTGTCGCATCTGTGTCCCGGCCCCTTTGTCCTGGCGTGATGTGTTGTTGTTCTGCTTCACTCTGGTTGCGTGAGTGTGAAACAAAACTGTGTTTATGGAGAGACGTGTTGTGCTGAGAGCCCCTGTGGCTTCTCAGTGTAAGCAGCGTCATAGACAGCAGCGTGGGAGTTAGGGGGTTAAAACATTGAGGATTACTTTAAATGAAGCCTTTTTTGTTTCCCTAACACACAGGTAGATGTGTGTGAGTGTGTAGTTTTTGAAATGAAAGGCCTCAAAGACGTCAAACAGCATCAGATCCTGGTTCCTCTGAAACATCTTGACTGGAAACGCTGGGACGCTTTAACTGTAACTGGATTATCAAAGCATCTTCTGTTGTCGGGAGCCCAGAAACACTCAGATCTGTGAAACAGTTCAGAACCACAACCCATCCTCCCTCCCTCCCAGAAACAAAGGTTCTCCATTAGGTTTGGTGATATTTCTCATGACTATTATAAAGTATCAATGCAAAACAACTTGCGGATCGCAGACAACTCGCCGTAGATGTTTACTTCTTAAATATAACTTTATTAAAGCTGGCGACTGATTGAGAGAACTTTCCTTTAAACTAACTTTTATGAGGGATGTCATAACATTTGTCCCATTCTTTTTTTTTTTTTACGAATTCTAACTGCCCTGCTGAATCCTGCCAGTGAACCTGGAAGTTCCAAGGTCAGACTTGATGATCGCTGTGTTTACTTTCCTCTCCAGCAGACGATAGGATTCCTGTGAGCCGTCGTTAGCCGTTACTGTGAAGAGAAACTCTGAATACATTCCAGTCTTCGTTTTTCATTTACACTAGAAGACGCTAAAATGTCGTGCTGACAACTGTTATGGCATCTACTACCCGCTAGCTTTTTTTTCTGTTTTCTTCCAGCCTTGTGAATGCTGGAGCTGGAGG